AGGTGGCTCCAGTCCTCTCCTCTGGGCCTTTCTGGGGCCCCAGAGTTTCTTTATCCCTCTCTGTGTGGTGCTGTTGTGGGATTTGAAGCATTCAGGAACCAAAGGAGGTGGGTGAAAGGGATGGGGGCATTAGAGAGAGTCCCTTCTCCTTCCCAACTATGTCTGTTGGACTGCCACACTAGCAAGAGTACAGCTGAAGTTTGCTGCAAAGCTTCTATGTCTCTGACCTCCCTTTCAAGCAGTATTTCATTCTGCTTCAGCCATGTTAAAATGACTTGCCTGTAATCAATACCAAGTTCCCATTTTCATGTGATACTAAAATGTTCTCAGAACCTGGTGACAGACTGACTCCAGAGGTCACTCCATGCCTGTGCATAAAAGATAGTTTCTTGTGCTGCTGCTAATGGGGTTTTGAGTTATTGAATACCTGACTCTACAGAAAATCTTTCTTCTCTTCTGCAGGGGAAGGTACCATTCCTGTGGAGTCGAGTGACATTGTGCCCACATGGGATGGGATCCAGCATGGGGAGCGGTTACGAACCATGTCCTGCAGTGACAAAATCTTACGCTGGAATATACTTGGCTTGCAAGGAGCACTGCTGTCACACTTCATAGAACCGGTTTATCTCAGCTCTGTTACACTTGGTATGAGACCTGCCATCCTTTCTGGGCTGGGATGGATGTGCTGCCCTGCTCCTTAGAACTGGGCTGCAGTGACAAGTAACCTCTCTTCCTCAAGTGGTGGAAAAGCTTGTTTGTGGAGGCTGTAGGAGTAACAGACTGAAATGTTCTTGGCAGAGCTGTGCTGTTTGGAAGTGAAAAGGGAGTTTGTGGATTTTATGCTGTGGGTGGAGTGGGTTTTTCTCCAAGCTTCTTGATTTTTAGAAGGCACATGTGATCTAGGAGGGCGAGACAAAAATTGCCCATTTGTGTCTTTGGTGAGAAATGTTGCAGTCTATAAACCTTCATCTTACACACCTGGGATACACGTAGCTGTTGCTGATCCACATGCCTGTGAGCTTTCTGGGGCTTGTGAGAAGTGCTGTGATTCTCAGGGCTTGGCCTGTCCATCACCCATGCCATTCCTGTTTCCTAATGCCTTCATGTCTGTCTTCACAGGTTACTTGTACAGTCAGGGTCATTTAACACGTGCAATCTGCTGCCGCGTGGCAAGAGATGGGAACGTGCTGCAGGAAAAGCTCCAGGCTCCGTATCACATTAACCATCCTGAGGTAGTGCGGGCTTGGCACCTCTTCATCCTTCTGTCCCCCCCCTTCCACCTCCGCCCTTGGGTTTGGGCCTCACCAAGGTGCTCTGCAGGGGGGTCACCTGGCAGAAGCTCTCCAGCCAGGGTCAGGAGGTTAATGGCCAGAAACCTGCCCCCTCTGTGTCATCCCACAGTGCCTGGGGGTTACTGGGAATGACTTGGTCTGGGAATAAGGAGACTACAGCCACCCCCGTAGCCTTCAGCTTAGTAAGAACCTAGGGCTTGCTGCTCTCAGGAGTTTGGGATGAGCTGAACCCCTGCCTGCAGGGGATGGAAGAGGCAAGAGGCTCCCCTTACCAGCGAGCTTGTGCAGCAGGACCAGCATTAAGAAACCCTCTTACCTCTTACGCAGGTTGGGCGAGTCAGCGTATACGACTCTGCAAGGCAGACGGGCAAGACAAAGGAGTCTTCGGTGAATTGGTGTCTTGCTGATGAAAGCGAAGTTGAAGTGTTGGATGGCACAAAAGGGAAAGTAGATGGGTAAGAAGAGCCTTTCCTGACTCTGCTTTTCTGTTTGGGGAAAGGGGGGCAGCTCTGAAGTCGTGAGTACGCTGTGTGCTGTTACAGCACCTTACATGTGGGGAGGGTTGGAGAGAGGCATTTCAAACTGACATGAGCGAGTGCTCTTGAAGCAAAACAAAATATTGCCCAGCCCAGCCCCTACAACAGAGCTTTGCTGAGCCAAGAAATATTGCAGGCATCCAATTGTGGGGTTTTCCCTGAGCCCTCTGCTCCTCTTTGCTCTTTTGAGCATCACGTCCTTCATTGCTGCATTTGTCTTCCTTTTCAGACCAAAGCTAGAGGTGTCTCGTGTATCCAAGAGGAAAATGTTTGCCCTGTTCCAGCAGTTATGTGTCAAGAACAACTGCAAAGACCTGCAGAACCTCTCGGTGTACGCAGATGCTAAGGAGGCAGCCACGGCGTACCAAGAAGCCAAGCAGTGCTTCTTCAGCACACTGGAAGAGATGGGCTATGGCAGCTGGATCCGCAAACCCCAAGAGGAAGATAATTTCTCTCTCCCTGATGCATAATGAGACACCCTGCGCGTGTGGGGGGGTGAGAGTGCACAGGCGTGTGCATGGGTGTTTGCGTCCTTCTTTCACCACCTTCTTTTTGAAGTGGAATCCGGAGTGTGCAGCAGTTTCCCCTGTAGGCCTGGCTGCCTTCTCTCTCTGCTCTTGTTACTCTGAGACCCTGCCCTTTCTCTTTTTAGAACATGCATGAAAATTACTGTCTTTTTTTTAAGCTAGGGCAGGCTCAGTCCCCGTTTGCTTTTATGTTTTTTGTCTCCTCATTTTTTAAAAGAAGGCACAAGAAACCAGAGGGATTCTCAGACTGTGAGCTTGAAACCTCTGGACCGTGCACTACAGATCCCTCTGGCAGGTTTTGAGGCAAATTTTCTCTTTTGAGAAAAAAAAAAAAAGGCCGACTGGCTGGTTTTATGTGTCTCTGTCAGAAGGTGGCTGGCAGCCTGTTTGAGCTGGGACATGGGACTGATCTCTGCAAGATGCCAGCAGGACCAGCGTAACATTCTGCGTTAATAATAAAAAAAAGAAAATTTCTGTAGTATTAGCTGGCTTTGTGCTGTGGGTGTGTTAATTCCTGCAGAGTGAAAGAGTGGCCCTGGGTGGGAGTTGGAGAGGAACAGAGGTGAATTATCATTTGCTAAACGATGAGTGGGTCTGTGTAGAACTGGCAGTTGTGAATTAAGCCTCTTGCCTTAAGCCCAGGGGCTCATTGGGCAGAATTGAGCCTTCACAGGGCTTGAGCATGCCCTGAAATGACAGGGCAGGGTTCTCCTGGCTCCTTCCCCCACCTCTGTCTCTAGGATGGGGTGTCGATTCTCCAGTCTTGGGAGGTCACTTGGGAGGCAGCTGGTGGTGGCTGCAGGCCATGTTGTGTGTCTGCTTTGTCTGAGCTCAACCACATGCCAGACGCACTTGTAGAAGGTGGGAAGTAAAGTTTGTTAGATGTTGTAGAGCAGCCTCCTGTTGGAGCAGCCCCTTTCCCGATGCACAGTGTGTGCTGGCTTTGCCTGGGACGGGACAGTTGACACCAGTGAGACTGGGCAAAGAGACCACAAAGCGGTTAGCATGGAGGTGTAGCCCAAACTGAAGAGAAGTCCTGAGGCTGGGGGAGCACAGCCTGGGGACCAAGGCCCTGGCTGTGGCTGTGCCTCAGGCTTGTGCATCTATTCCCGTGCAGCAGGAAAGGATGCCAGTGGGCAGATGTGCTGTGGCCAAGCAGGTTAAACGCTTGCTGAAAGGCTGGCTGTCATGGGCTCACCCTGCCTGCAGCTGCCAGACGGCACTCGGACACTGACTGCGGCGCAGAGCTGCAAGGGGTGGCAACAGCCTTGGCATTCTGCTCTCCCCTGCGCACGGAGCAGGGCCCCGGTGGCAGCAATGGCACAAGGACAGAGCTGGGGGCTCCTCTGTCTGCGGCGGCCCCTCCTTCATGCTGCCAGCTGCTCAGGGTGCTGTGCCTGGGGCTTTCAGGGCTCCTGCTGTGCTATCTGCACCCTCCTGCTCTCCTGGGACTTGTGGGTCTCCGCCCCCCACCGGGGTGCAGCGGGACCCCCCATTCCTGCACTCACCCAGGGCTGCACCAACAGCAGAGGGGCTGCAGAGGTGGGACAAAGCAGGACAAGCCCTGGCGCAGGGCTGGTTTAGGGGCAAAGCTCTTAACATTTAAGTATTGGGGCAGGCCGCTGAGAGGAGGAGGTCCAGGAGCATCAGCTGGAGCAGCCCGGGATTTCTCTGGCTGGGTGAAGTGCTGGGATTTAAATTAATTTCTAGCGTGCGGCTTCCCCTGGCACTGTGTGCTGCCAGCCCCCGTCTGCGCCACGCTCCCCCCAGCACGAAGGATTAGTGGTATTTATAGCAAACGCTCCATTTCAATTTTCCCCGATGAGGCTAATTTCTGCCGGCAAGGGAGAGCAGGGGAAGTGCTGCCGCTGCTGCCGGACTGGCCAAGGCTGCCAACCCGGCACACCGGCTCCCCTGTGTGACCGGTGGCGGGGGCCTGGCTGCCGGCTGCTCCAGGCTCGAGTTGCAATGGATTTGTATTTTCCTTTCCCCTGCACAATTCATCTCGTGGCTGGTCTTGGCTCCAGTGCACTGAGCCTGGAGTTTAGCAGGGGACAGTGGCACTGTCGCAGCCTGGAGCGGCCCCTGGCGCTTGCTGCCCTAGCCCTGCCTGCAGGTAGGACCTAAAAATAGCATCCTCCTGCCTGGTACACATGCTCACCTCGAGGAGCCAGAGCAGAGCAGTCCCATCCTCCTCCCCATGCCTCTGTTCCTGCTGCATCCTGAGGCTCTGCCCGGCTCCTGGGAGCCCAAGGAATGTGCAGGGGTCTGGCAAGGGTTGGGGGCTGCCCGTAGGGGCTGCGGCACCTGCCCCGGCCCTGCATAGCCCTGCGTTGTTGCATTGGTGGGAGGAGATGCGGCAAGCAGCCTGTGCGCCCAGGAGCATCCCCGTGGGGCCAGTTTCATGCTGCTGTGCTCCCTCCTTCGGCTATTGGGATTTTGCTCCTCCAGAGCCAATTATTCCCTGGCTTTTTCCCTTGGTCATAGGGAGCCAGAGCCCACCCCAGCCCCAGCTGCATCCTACTCCCTCCTGCCTGTGGGGAGTGGTGCAGGATGAAATGACACTAAATTGAACCAGCCCCCTCCTGTGTGAGTATTTATTGGTTTGCAGAGGCTGCCTGGAGCCCAGCACCCAGCTCTGGCCCTGGGACCGGCTGGCCCCTGGCTTGGTGGCTGGGAGAGGGTGCGGAGCTCAGGGTCCCTCGCTGTCCCTGGGGCCGGCGGGGAGGGCGGGCGACCACCTGGGCGCTATTTGGAGGTGGGGGTGCCCTGGCCGAGCTGCAGCAGGGAGTTGGTGGCGTAGTTCTGGAAGAGGGGCTGGAGAAACATGCCGACGGTGCCGAAGACACAGACGAAGACGAAGATCCATAAGAAGAGACGGTCGATGACCATGGCCACGTACTTCCAGTCCTCGCTCACCTGTGTGGGGCCAGAAGAGATGCCAGGTGGGGCCGAGGCCTCCAGCATCACCCAGTGCTGCCTGTGCCGCTCCCGGCAGGCAGCTGGACTGAGAGCTCAGCGGTCCACAGAGCTCCAAATCTGCTCCCTCAGCACTGCAGCTCCTGGGGCTGCCTGCCAGCCCACCATGAGCCCCGCGGAGCTCGTTCCCCCCACTGCTACCCAGACCACCAAGCCCGGGAAACTTATCTCCCTAGTGAGCTGAACTGGGGGCAGCGGGCAGCATTCCCTGGCCCTGCAGCCCCATCTGGGGCCGGCTCTGCCAAAACCTGCAGCCTCACAGTCCCCCACAGGGTCAGGCCTCCCAGGAGCCTCCTGGGTTTCCAGAGCAACTGCTCTGGGTTGGGGCTGCAGCAGTGGGTCAGGGGCCCAGGCAGGGGTTGCAGGGGGTCCCCAGGCATGAGGCTGGGCAGGGATCCCCTTGGTGCCTGTGCATGTCCCTTCCTGGGAAGCAGCTGTGCACCAGCAAATGCTCTGCACCCTACAGCTATATATGCACATCACAGCCCTGCCTGCACCCCACAGCCCTGCCCCCCCCAACAGCAGCCCTGCTCGCAGCCCTGCCCACCCCACCGCGTGCTGCCCGCCCTTGCCCTGACTCACACTCTGGTCGTCGTCCTCGCTGCGCATGTGGTCGGCGATGAAGCGCACGCCGTCCACCGCCTCTTCCAGCCCGCAGGCGCAGCCAGCCGCAGGGGCTGGCGCCTGCCCCTGCTGCTCCCGGTAGCCATTGAGCCCCTCAGCCTTGGCAGTGCCAGGGTTGGCGTAGCAGGTGCAGGCGCGGGCACCAGCCTGGAGGAAGAGGGTGGCGGTGGCGGCGCGCTCCTGGGTGTGCCGGCGCTGGCGCAGGCGCTGGCGTGCACAGTTCTGCCGCGGCTGCTTCATGAAGAGCAGTGCCGGGAGCTTGCGGAGGAAGAGGGTGCGGACCCAAGGTGGCATGGTGTGCGTGGTGGGTGAGCGGTGGTGCACATTGAGGACGCAGACGCTGGTGACGATGGAGAAGGTTACCAGCACCATGGTGAACATAAGGTACTTGCCCACTAGTGGCACGTCCAGTGACGTGGGTGGCACAATCTTGGAGATGAGCAGCAGGAAGACGGTGAGGGCGAGCAGGACGGAGATGCAGAGCGTCATCTTCTCGCCGCAGTCGGACGGGAGGTAGAAGACGAGGATGGCCAGGGAGGTGATGAGAATGCAGGGGATGATGAGGTTGATGGTGTAGAAGAGCGGCTTGCGCCGGATAATGAAGTCGTAGGTGATGTCCACGTAGGTGGAGTCATCGGGATTCTCATTGCGGCGTCCCGGCAGTGCCACGATGTCCCACTCGCCACTGGGCGTGAAGTCATCCAGGCTGGCCACCTCGCTCTTCAGCACCAGGTCGATCTCGGTGCGGTCATAGGTCCAGGAGCGGAACTTCATGGTGCAGTTCTGCTGGTCGAAGGGGAAGTGCTTCACCTCGATCTTGCATGCACTCTTGTAGATGGCCGGCGGCAGCCAGAAGATGCTGCCATCGTAGGAGATCACCGCATTGGAGTAGAAGGAGACCTCGTACATCCCATCAGCACTGGGGTGAAGGGATGTGCCATCAGCCCTGGCCCTGCCCCAGCTGTGCAATGGCACCGCCCTGAGCCCTGGGTGGGGCTGGGGCACACACGGCCCCCCCAAGAAAACCACCTACTTGTTGTAGAGCACCACATCAGGCAGCCAGATGTGCTTGGAGGGCAGGCGGACTTTCTTCATGTTGTCAAAATCCTCCGGCTTCCAGGTGAGGCGGTAGTCTTCCCACTCCTGTGGGTGGGCAGGCAGGCTCAGCTCAGCCGGCCGTGGGTAGGGGTGGGCTCAGGGCAGGGTGGGCATGGGGGTCCCACACAGGGTGTAGGGGGGGACTGGGATGGGGGGGCAGTCAGGTCAGGGTGGATATGGGGGTCCCACACAGGGTATATAGTGGGGCGGGCAGGGGGTCAGGACTGGGTGGACATGGGGGTCCCACAGAGGGTGTATGGAGGGCCCCGGGGCAGGGTGCAGGGGAGGTGCAGGGCAGGGTGCAGGGGGGATGCAGGGCAGGGTGGACACGGGGGGTCCCGGGGCCATGGCGGAGTGCAGGGCTCCCACCTGCGTCAGCCAGACATTGGTGGTCATGATCTGCTCCCGTTCGTGCTGTGGAGAGAACGGGGGCTGGTTACTTGGTGTGCCAGGGAGGGGGGGGGAAGGCTGCAGGGCCCCCTCCCTTTCCCAGTGGATGGGGGAGCAGAGCCCCGGCCAACTCACCACGCTGATGAGCTGCGCCAGCGACACCATCAGCTGCACGGTCACCAGCTCGGAGCCGTTGGTCGCCGGCCGGATCAGCTTGTTGTAGCGCGCGGGGTCCAGCAGATACTCAACCAGCCGCTCCTCCGTGTCCGTGCCCAGGCTCCCTGGGGCGCAGCAGGAGGCTGAGCCCCACGGTGGCGGCCAGGGTTCCCCGGGAGCATCCAGACCCCCCCACACACCTCCCCAGGGCTGAGCCTGTGCCCACCCTGGGGGTCTGGGCCTGGCAGCTCGAGGGCGGGTGCGGGGATTGAGGGTGTCACAGCCGCGTGCAGGCTGCTCCCAGGGCAGGGGGGT